AGAGAGAGAGAGAGAGAGAGAGAGAGAGAGAGATATCCAAGGCCACTTGATGCCAGCCAGAGAGGACGTTGCGGAAACACAGCACTGGACACTGGGTAGAGAGGCATCGCTCTGGGTCATGTGCAATTTCAAGAGAAGGGGCCCCCTTGAATCCACACACGTGCACTGGCTATTGGCGTGTGGGAGCCTGAACTGTGGATGGTGTGTGCTGGGGGCCAGAGGACATAGCCACCAGGAGCTGTGGGCACTCCCTCCGGGGGGTAGGGTGGGGGGGGCTGTCTTCCTTCCAGTGTTTCCCGCCTTTGCCCACTGGGAACTTTTTTGCCATAAGCAAATGCTGGACCATTGCTCTCCTGAAGGGCTTTCCTTTGAGATTATGAATTTACTAGTATATGAGCCTTGTGTTCCCTGAGACAATTAGACAGGCAGGTATGAGATGGTGGAGTGAGCAGTGGGATTATAGTTTCCCAGGGTGGACTGACCCAGCCATGATTCTGTTGGATGGGGTGGGTGGGGCTGAAGAACAAAGGGTTTTGGGGAGCTCGGTGCTGGAAATAGTGGATCCCAGTCCTGATTCTTCTAGAATCCAGCTGGGATGGCCCATTCTAACCTGCCCTGCCTTGGTTCCCGGCCACAGCCCGAGTCTGAGGTTTCATGAGCTTGAAGCTGGAAGGAGCCCTCCTCTCTCCAGGAGCCAAAGCTCTCTGCCCCCTCGTTCAGGGTCAGGCCTTGGTGCAGAAGTGACCCACACAGAATTTTCCAGCCAGTGTCTGCCCTTGTTAGGCCTTAAAACTCAATCACCAACAATCAGTGCAACCACAGTTGTGCTAACTAAAACCAATTGCTCTAATTAGAGCTTTTCTTGGCTCATCAACACCCACTGCTCCGTATCTAAGTGCGAGATAATTGATAGTGAGATGAAGCAAGATGAGATTGTGGGAAGGGGAAAAAACACTGACAAGCTTTAAAAAATCTTTATTAACAGTCGTTTTAAAACTAAGACCAGACCTTCCATTTTTCTGAAAAGAATTCTGAAGCAAGCATGCGAGTTGGCACACTCCCTTTAGCTGTCCCCTCGGTTAGCGACAACTCCAATGCCAGTCTTGACTTCTCTCACAGGCCACGTCCAGGTCATCAGCTCCACTTTCAGTCAATGTTCAGAACCAGGCCACCACCCTGATACACCTGGACCTACTGTGTGCACTAACTGTGAACCTGAAACACCTGGACCTACTGTGTGCACTAACTGTGACCAGTCTTGTTTCTTTCTACTGTGCTTCTGGAGACGGTCTCTCACTTAGAAAACAGCTTCCTACTCCCAGGCACTACGATTGTGTGCATCCTCGGTCTGATTCATGCATTTGGAACCCTTTGTTCAGATGAAACCTGCCTTGGAACCCTAATATTTCTCCAGCCCTCACAGTTCTGGGCTGGGACACACAAGGTCCTGCCTCCAAGCCGTTCACAGATCCAGGCTTGTATCCAGTCCGGGAGCGCCCCTGATGAGAGCGTGGCCCTGGAAAGGCCCATTGTCCCAGGGCAGGAGTGGTGGGCACAGTGAGTGCTGGTGGCTCCCAGGACCCTCCTGTGCGAGGCCCAACCCCGGCCTCCTGAGTCAGGTCTGGAGTGGGCTCACAAACCCGGAGGCTTAAGCCACCTGAGCTCCTAGTACTCGGGCAGCCCGAGTACCAGCAATTAGGGAAAACTTATTAGCTACATGAGAGCGTTTTCATGTTCTCCCGAGGGCCGTGGCTCTTCAACTTGGCTCTCTGGTTCCTTTGAGGATTTCTGTAGAAACTTCGTGCACTATTTAACACGCTGTATTTTTACATTTTATACGTTTATATTTTTCTAAGGAAAAGAACCCATCGTTTCCAAGGAGGGACCTTTTCCTCCTCATCTCTTCAGCTGGGAAGGCCCATTAGGTCTGCAGCGCCGGGAGAGGGGTAGCCAGCAGCTGTTTCTAGCTGAGGAATGAGGTCTTTGGAGACGGGGCAGGGGAGTCCGTGGCTTAGGAACTGGAGGTGCAGGCGTTGGAAGAGCCCTGGAAGGACAAGGTATTTGGGTCCAACGGGAAGAGGCAGGGAGGGCGGCGGTGGCGGGGTGGTTCCGGCTGACACTAGCCTTCCCCAGAGAACAGGGGGACCAGGATGGGGAGGAGAGAGATGACAAGGCTGGGTGCTCTGCCTTCTTGAGCAGAGGGGCCTCTGTGGGCCCGTGACGCTGGATTGTTGATCAGCGCTGGGCCTCCGTGAGCCGGAGGGGACCTCACTCACTGCCCTGCACAACTAACTAAGCAGCACAATTAATTAGATTAATGACTGTGCTGTATTCACAGCAGCAGCTGAGGGACATTTTCTCCCGCAGCGAGAACCGCTCCTCCCGCCCATCGCTGCTCACTCATTTGTCCCACAGCTACCGGGCTGGACTCAGAGCTGCCCCCAGGCCCTCTGCTCCGGCCACAGTGGACCCTTTGCCCAGCTGCCTCTATCATCCCTCCGTGGCCCCTCCTGTGCCCGCCAACAAGTGTGGGGTTTAAACAGGGGGACCACATGTTTGATGGTTCACCTGTGAGAGGGAGGGGGGGCTTGTCCCCACACCAGGGTGACAGTCACAGACCTAGATGAGGACGGGGTGAAGGCTAATCCCGCCGCGTGGGGCCCCTGGAGTGGGGGGTAGGATGTCGGAGGCTTCCTCCTCCAGTTTGCTGTCCACGTGTGCAGCGGAGAGGTCGGGGCCCGGCCTGGGCTCTGCTGGTGGTGGGCATGGAGTCGGGGATGGATCGTCCCTGCAAAGCTACTGGACCGCTGGGTTCTCTGCGCCTTTGGTTGGTCTGGTTGGCCAGGGCTCTAGCCTGGGAGTCAGCCAGCTCTGGGTGGGCCACATAGGAAAGGCCGGTTATTCCGGGAGCCCTTCTAGGGCTCCTACTGGGTGCAGAGCTCTTGCTGTGGGGACGGGCTTGGTTGCCAGGACAGGTGCTCACTGAGGCCAACATGTTGGGGAGCCAGGGACAGGGCCTGATGGCCTGGTGGCATTTCAAGGTCAGGGTTCAGCAGGGACCATAACCAGACCCCCCCTGCCCCCCATAATGAGGGGATGCAGGGTCAGCATGGGACCAAAGAGGGTCAACCTCCTGCTGAAAACAGGGTGGAGCCCTTGCTCATTGGTTAGAGCAGTGGTCAGCAAACTGCGGCTCGCAAGTCACATGCGGCTCTTTGGCCCCTTAAGTGTGGCTCTTCCACAAAATACCGACTTCTGTGCATGGGCCACGAAGTTTCAATCGCACTGTATGTGCGTGCCCACACGTGGTATTTTGTGGAAGAGCCACACTCAAGGGGCCAAAGAGCCGCATGTGACTCGCGAGCCGCAGTTTGCTGACCACTGGGAGCATCAGCCTGAACACCGAAGGGTCGCAAGTTTGATTCCTGGTCAAGGGCACATACCTGGTCCCGTAGGAGGCAATCGATCCATGTGTCTCTCTCACGTCAATGTTGCTCTCTCTCTCTTTCTCTCTCTCTCTCTCTCTCTCTCTCTCTCTCTCTCTCTCTCTCTCTCCCTCACTCCCTCTCTCTCCCTCCTTTCCCCCCATCCTCCTTCCACTCTCTCTAAGAATCAATGGAAGAAATATCCTCGAGTGAGGATGAACAAAAGAACAAAAACGCGGGTTAGAGACTGATGCCCTTGGGCAGGCCCTCCGGGGAGCGGGCGGGGTAATGAGCCGTCATCTGAGGAGCGGAGATGAGTGTCTGGCCCTGGCGCTGAGGCTCTGCAGGGGCCTGCGTTCCGGTGGCTTCTCTGATGAGCCCTCCGTCTCTGCTGGCCGCGGGCTCTCCGGGTGGCCTCTGGGGGCCTGGCCATTGCTGGCTCCGGGCTCTACAACCCCCCAGGATGCTAGAGGGAGTGGCCATCAGGCCGCCTCTGCCTGCACGGAAGTCCTGCCAGGACCCGCATGAGGGCTATCTCTCCGGAAGGATTGGTCGGGGCATCCCACAGCCTCCCACTGGGCACGGGCTGTGGTGCCCCCCAGCACCTCACCCGGACCACGCCCCCGCTGGCGCCGAGGTGTCCAGGGTGAGACATTCAACAGGCACCTGCGGGGGCAGCAAAGCCCTTGCAAGGCTGATAGTTCTCCGTGCATGCTTCCGGCCGCATTTACTACAGAAAGGATTCTGCAGGGGCCAGCGGGCGGCCGTGTGTGATGCGCGATCACTGTGCCATTGGGGCCTTCAGCTCAGGAGTTCAGAGAATCGAGCGACACCTCCTGACTCAGGGCCAAGGCCTCCCAGCATGTGGCTGCACAATGAGAAGAGGGAAAGGGTGCTGAGTCCGCTCCCTTCTTGCAATACTTTTCCCCGCAGATTCACAAACGATTAAGCTCCCACCCATTTCAGAAGATGAGTTTTCAATGACTTTCCTTTTTCAGTTTAACAATTACTTCTAAAAAACTCTTAGCAGCCCTGTTGTTTTCCTCAAGCGCATGCTGCCTTTTATAGGAAAAATAATAATTGTCAGAATTCTATTTAGAAGACTTTTTAAAAAATCCCTCAGAACCTTCGGTCACAGGAAATTAAATATTTCTGTTTCAATTTCTAAATATATTTTGTGGCAGAGGAATATGGTGAGGTGAGCAGTAAAAGACTTTCAACCATAAAAATACTTCATTTGTATAAAATCCCACAGAGGAAAGGAATGGACGGGGATACAAGTTCAGAGAAGAACCGTGTAAACTCTCCACCTGCAAAGAGCAGCCATTGTAATTTTTTTTTTTTTGACAGATGAGGGGAGGTATTTAATCACTGCTGTGCTCGGAGTCTGTATGCTTTTTAAAAATATTGTGGCAGTTTTATTTTAACACGCAAATATTTACCCAATCCCAGAAATCACATCTCTCACAAGTTTTAAAATCTAGGTAAAAAATATTAGACATCAACTTAAAAATGCAAGACAAGATAGATACAATTTTAAAAACTGGGCTGTAGGGCCGGGGGGGGGGGGGGGGATCGTACCAAGAGCAAAAGCCCCTTTGAACCCTGGCCCGATGGCTCCTCCCGCCCCTGGGCTCCTGGCCCCTCCTGCAGGGCAGCGGGGAGCCAGGACCAGGGGGAAACTGCTCATGGAGACCACAGGCCTTGTCAGCCTGTCCCTCCAGATTCCAGAATCTGGGCCTCTGGGACGGGCCTGGGCACAGGCCGGGGTGTGCAGGCGAACTGCACGGTACCTCTGTCTGTGCTGAATTCAACTGCCTGTGGCTGGGGAGGAGGGGCAGATATTGTCTTGGGGGAATGATAAGGGTCAGACCTGCGGGGCAGGGGTCAGAGAGAACCGGCCCAGGCCAGCGCCAGTCGGCAAGGAGGGCGGGCCCAGCCCAGCACCCTGGCCCCAGCACCCCTTCGGCTGCCTGGTCCCCTGCACCTGTGGGGGCTGTTTCCACAGAGACATGGTTTATTCTACAGAGAGCAGATGTGGCTTCAGAAGGGGAGGTTCCGGTGGAGGCTGGGGACTTAGCTCCGGTCACTAAAGATGTGCTTCAGTTTCTGCTATTTCTACCCCTCGTCCCTGCCCGTCCCCCACCCCCACCCCCGGCTTCTCTCCGTTTTGTCCTGCCCTATGTACCTTATTGGTCTAAGTGTGGCTCTCCTAGCCCTGTCTTCCTCTCCCCCTTCCCCTCCTCAAGCCCTTGAATCTATGGAGGAGGCTGAGGTCTCCCAGAAAGGAGTCCACCTTCTTCAGGAAGCCCGGGGGCAGGGGTGGTGTAGACCAGGCTTTCGAGGCGAGGGGCCCTGGGATCAAGCCCTCCAAACTAATCCTTTACTCCCCCCGACTGCAGAGGGCGCCCCTGAGTGTGGAGGCGGCAGGCAGGGAGCAGGGCCAACGGCCTCCGGCTACTGGCAGGAAGGCCCACACCACGAGGGGGGCAGGGGCCCAGGCCCACAGGATCGAGCTGTGGGACTTGGGCAGGTCCTTCCGGCCCCGGGCCTCAGCCTCCTCATCGGTGAGCGGGGCTTCCATGAGGATCTCTGTGAGTCTGGTGTCACAAACGCCTGCGGACCTGCGCCCCACCGTCTTGCTCTCCTTGGGGTTCCTGCGACTTCTCCGCTCCGCTCCGGCCCCTGGTCCCGCGGAGGCCCCTGGGCTGCACAGGCTGGAGAGCTGGTCTCTCCCTCCCTCCGCCCCCATCTGGGCGTCGGGCAAGCACGGGAGGTGGAGGAGGACGGGGAAGCTGTTCCGACTGACCCGGGAATGACGGGCGAGTGGGTGACACGCGGGGTCATACAGCGGCCGTCTGCTTGATGCTGTGGAAGCTGATCCGAGTGGGCGAGGTGGGGATGGACATGGCCCCTGGGACTCGGAGGGAGTGATGGTCCCGCCACCGGTGCCACCTCTTCTTCATGGCTGCGCGCACCTGCGGGGGAGGCACAGACTCAGCTGTTCCTGGCTGCATACTTGACCTCTACGCTGCAGGGGTCCCTCAGGCAGCCTCCCTGTCCCCCCCAAGGCTGGGCGGTTTTCCAGACGCTCCCCCCTTCTCCACTGTGGAGCTGAGCAGAGCCAGGGACCCCGTAGGCCCGAGGGGCTGGGCGGCTCTGTGGGAACCGCCTGGAGTGGGTGTGAGGCCCCCGGCCCGGCCTCATACCTCTCCGTTTAAGAAGCAGTAGAAGACAGACACGAAGAAGCCCTGGAAAGGAAGGAGGGTGGTCAGGGGTCTGCATGGGCATCGCCCGGCCTGGAGAGGGCCAGGGGGCCGGGGAACACTCTGACCCAGGACCCCAGAGGCTCAGAGCTGGGGCCACCCCTCCTGGTGCAGGTGTGACAGAGCAGGTTCTGGGCTAGCAGTAGGTGCCAGCTGGGCGACCCAGACCCCGTCGGGCGGGGGGGGGGGGGTGCCCCACCTGGGCTCTGGGGTGGGGTTCAGTGTGTGCACACTTATATTTGAGTGTGTACCCGAGTGACCCACATGTGCACCTGTCCCCTGTGTGTGACCGTCCCGTGAGGGCACCTGGGCGCCCAGGTCAGGAAGTTCGCTGGGCCCTTCGGCCCTGGGCCCACCTGGAATGACTGCAGGAAGGAGTTGAAGTAGATGAACACGATCTGCGACAGCTCGTCCTTCTGCCCAGGGTTGACCAAGAAGAGCATGTAGGTGGTGCCCAGAAGCGGCAGGAGCACCAGGGTGGCCTTCACCGCCTTCCTGAGGGGGGAGGGGGAGCTCTGCGGGCGGGGCCTCACTGGGTGGCGAGAGCTCCCGGGGGAGACAGAGAGGACCCTGCCCAGAGGCCGGTGCAGGGCCCACCTGGCCTCCATTTCTCCCTACGGGGGCCGGGGGGGGGGGGCGGTAAGGCACCCATCACTTACCTGTACTGGATCGTCTCTGACGTGGTGGATGCTCGTAGTTTTGTCATTAGGATCCTGACGATGTTGAACAGAAACACAAAGTTGATCTGGAGGAGGGAGTCAGAGAGGGGAAGGGGGACCATGAGGTGGTTCGTGCTGAGAGCAGCCACCTGCCCTGTAACCCACTGCGACCCCGAGTTCCACGCACACGCACGCATGGCACACACATCACCCCAGCCCCGGCCTGGGGCCCCAAAGCCTCTGCTCCTCTCTTGGGGGACAGGCAGGTGCCCCCTTCTGCTCAGCTGCCTGTCACCTGAGGGCTCCCGGAGGGGAAGCCACCCAGGCAGCAGATGAGGGCGAAGAGGCCACGCCTCCTGGGGCCTGAGTCCACAGTCCTCACCCCGCTCTGCCCGAGCCAGGCAGGGCCCCCCCTCACTACCACGGGTCTCCTGGAGAAAGACCGCTTCCTGGTGGGCAAGGGGAGAGGGCCTCGTACTGAGGACAGCCCTGCCTGGGGCAGCAGACGGCCGGCTGGGGTACCGGGAACTGAGTGCCGCGGACTGATGACTCTCCCTCCTCCCCTGTGCCGGTAAAGCCCAGAACCTCTGCAGACCCACAGCCAATGCAGATGAGCGAGCTGTGGGCCCACCAGGAGGTTCTGAAAGGGCCTCATGGTCTTCATTCTGAGCTGTGTCAGCCTCCGCGCCCACGGCGCCCGCCTCTCCCCCACCCGGGCCCTGCCTGGCTCCTGCCGGCCTGTGGCTGCAGGTGTCTGTTAACCTCGTGGGCTCGTGTGTGTGTGTGTGTGTGTGTGTGTGTGTGTGTGTGTGTGTGGCTGTGCTGCCCTCCACACGCTCCTGGCAAGGCTGCGGGTCTGTTCTCTGTGCTGTGTGAGGGTGTGAGTGTGTGTGTATGGGGGGACACAGTGTGTCGTTTTTTATCTTCATTTGTCTCCAAGTGTAAGCAGACAAGAAAGGGAGTGTGTGTGGGGGGGCCTGACACTAGCAATCCCTTTCAACATGCACACACACACACACTCACATACATACACACACACTCACACAGACACACACACACACTCACACACCACACACACACACTCACGCACGCACACACACTCACATACATACTCACACACTCTTCCCAGGTCTCAGTCCTGAGACTCCATCACTCCTTAAACCCTCCTAAGTTCCGGATCCTGGCGGAGGGACACAGGCAGACATCAGGGGACAGAGATTCCTGTGGCCTCTGGATGACCCTAAATTTGAGGTGCTCTGGGGACCTGAGGGGCTCAGGCTCCTCGGCCATAGCCTGCGGCTCTCATGCCCTCAGCGGCACGGCCTGGTGAGCCCAGGATCAGGGTGGGCTGGGAAGCCTTCAGCCAGGGCTGCCCATGGCCTGCTGAGCCCTGGTTCTCCTCAAGGGTCATCCAGGTTATAGCTCCTGGGTTTCTGCATTAACCTGAACACATAGGTCAATCCCGGTGTCCTCACATAAGTGAGACAAACCATTTGACCTTTCCTGATTCTGACTTCTCTTAGAGTAGAGGCTGTTGGAATCAAGATATATTCCCATTTCTGCCATATTTCCCTGCATTTAATCTTATTTACCCATCATCCATCTACCCGCTAACCAATTCATTCAATTATCCACCCACTCTTACCCATCCACTCACCTACCCACTCAACTACCCACCCACCCACCCACCCACAAATCCATCCAACTAGCTACTCAGCAAGCATGCACCACTCTATCTAGCCATTCGCCCATTTATTTAATGGGTGACATAATATATGTCCACCCCACCCATCACCCACCCCTTCATCCCGTCCATAAGCATCGCTGAGCTCCTCCTGGCTACGGGGCCCTGTTCCAGGTACCGAGGAAGAGCAGGAGGGGGTCTGGTGTGGACAGTCTGGAAGACAAGGCCCTCTCCCCTCTTCTCCCATGGGGCAGGGCAGTTGGTGATGCTGCCCCCTCCCCCCAGCTCAGCCTGGGTCTGTGCAGCCGGAAAGCCACTCTGCCCTCATGAGCTTGATTCCCAGCCTCCCCCTTTACAACATCTGCACCACCTCACCCACCAGGCACCTTTCTTCCTCCTGCAGGGAGTCTCTGACCCCCCAGTCCACACGGTGCTCTCCATTCTTGAACCCCACTCTTCCCCCTGTCAAATCCAAGCTCTTCAGTGAGCACCGGCTACTGCACTCTAATCTTGTCCAGCCTGGGTTTCTTGTTTCATTCATTCATTCATTCATTCATTCACTCATTCAGTGAGGGCCATGTGCCTGACTCTGAGCTGGGCACTGATGATAGGAAGTGGACTTGGCTCTCGGTCTGGGGTGAGGGGTGCATTGCATTTTCCTTAAGTGGTCAGAAAGGCCTGGAGAAATGGCATGTGAACTGAGAAAGGGGGGAGTGTTCCCGGCAGAGAAAGGGCCAGGGAGGAAGCCCTGGGTGGGGGAGGTGGGCTGGATGGCGGCCAGTGTGGCTGAGGTGAGGCAGCGGAATCAGGACACAAGTCCAGGAGGGAGATAGAAATAGCTGGGAACCCAAAGCACGAGATTCCTTCCTGCAGGGCCCTCTCAGCTTGGGATGGGGCAGGGGCCCCAAACACACATCCTACAGAGACGATGGCATGGGTGGTGGGGAACCAGCCCAAGTCCCAGCTCAGCTAGCAGTTAGTGGTGACCCTGGGCAGGTTGTCCCCTCTCTCAGTGTTTTCATCGGTGAAATGGGAAGCATGCTCCCTACTTCTCCCAGACACTGGGGAATGCGGGGTTTGGACATAACAAGGATGGAGCTTCTGGAAGGGCTAACCCTTGGCACCTGGAAGCCCTGTTGGTGCAAATAGCTGGGTGTGGGCTGGGGCCAAAGGGAAGGACACACAAATGCCCTGGAGGCGAGGGTGAAACCAGGAAGTGGACACGGAGAGAAAGCTGGTTGAGTCTTGTCTCCCTTTCTCCATTCATTTCCTCACCACTGTGCCCCCTGCTTGCACCAGGGGCTCGCTCCCCACTATCGTTGGTCCCCCAGCCAGGCCAGCCTTCCTTGGCTGGGTCCCAGGCTCATCACAAGGCCTCTCCTCCAGGAGGGCTCTCAGCAGCTGGCCGGGAGGGACTGGGTCTCATGGAGTTTCCATTCAACGAGTGAGGGACTCATGGCAGCGGGGACTCCAAGGACCATCCTCCCCCACTCACTGCTGACACGGACTGGCTTTGCCTCTGAAATCACAGAGCCCTGGTGGTGCAATTTCAGACCGTGGGTGAGAAACCTTAGTCATCTCCAGTGCACATACATCAAGGACACTCCCAAGACGGGGGTCAAATGAATCCCGGGAAAAGTCGCAAAAAAAGAGAGTAAGGCAATAAGAGATACACAGTAATCGCCCTCACGGTAGACCAAGGAGGCCTTCATTAGGCACCTGCTGTGTGCAAGGGGTGGATGGATGCCGCTCTCTCAGTTCCCAGGAGCGTGTGGCCCTTTAAGGAAGCTGGTACCGACAGGAGCCTGAAATTACCGAGCCTGAAATAAGTCTTACATAAATGCTAATTTCTTATGGGGCCTTTCTGTGTGTCTCTCTTCTTTATGTGTGATATATAATGGGTTCGTTTTTGCAGAATGCAGCCCCTACTTAAACTCCACCTTAATTAAAGCTCGTTGTGGATCACAGACGGGTGGCAATTGTACAACAGACTCAAAAACATTTGGCAAAGGGCAGGGAGCTGAACTAGGAACAATTGCTCATTACCCTTCATTCTGGTACCAGGGCTCCAGGCTGAGGCTGGGCTGGGCCCCCAGGGGGCTGCTGGGGGAGGACAGGGGTATAGGTCCGGGCTGAACAGAAGCCTGCACACCCTCCTCTTGCCACCACTGCCCGCTTGCCTGGCTGGCTCAGCGTTTACCTGGCACGAATGTCACATGTGCGAGGGCACTAGCCCCCAGCCAGTCAGACCCATTCTCTGCCCAGAGGAAGAGCCCAGTGCCAGGGAGGGGGGGAGGGGCTGCACGGACACGGAGCGAAGGGAGAGCGTGCTGGGAAGGGAGGTGTCAGGAAGCTGGTGGCATGGACGGAGTGTGTGCGGGGGAAGACATCGCTCCCTCATGTCTCTGCTGGGTGGGTCCTCAGCTGCTCCCCTGGTCCCCAGCCCCGTCCCAGGGCCTACCTACCAGGAGCACGAGGATGATGGGGCCCTGGTAGATGTAGTCCAGTAGGTCGCCCGGCTCCTTCCCAAACCAGCACCTGCAAAGGTGGGGGCTGTCAGTGACCTGCTGAGCCGCAGCTGGGGGACCACCGCAGGCTCAGGCCCAGGGGCCTCCGGCCTGACCCTTCCCGAGACCCATTCTCCAGGCCTGTACCTTCCTCAGAAGTGGGGTGGATGGTCCCAGCCCCACTGACCGCCGTGCGCACCTGGCTGCCTTTTGTCTTGCTTAGAGGTTCTCCCCAGCCAGTCTGAGGGTGGCCTGAGTCGTCTCCTCCTCCTTCCCTTCTTCCTCCTCCTCCTCCTTTTCACTCCCTCACCCCTTCTAGATTGCTGGGCCCAGGGCTCATGACGGAGAGCTGGGCTGCCCCCCGACTGGCCTTGGGTCCAGCCACCTGTGCCCCTTGTTCATGCATTGCTGAGAGCCGCTCACAAAACAGCAGGAGCCTTCTCCTGCCCGGAGCCTGCCTTCCTCCCAGCCGAGCTCCATTCACCCTTCGGAGGGAGCCTGCTGCCACCAGGGGCGCGGTTGCTCTCTAGGGAGAATGGAGGATGAAGCTTCGGAGTCTGGGCCTGGGGGACCTCCTCAGGGACCTCCTCCTGGACCAGGAGAAGGGCCCATGCCTATGTCCCCACCCCCTCAGAGGGCATCCGGTGCACCTGGCTCAGACAGGCGTCTCCCCAGCTGCCCTCCAGCACCAGGGTTTCTGGTCTCTGCTCGAATACCCCCTGTGACGGGAGGGTCACTCTTCCGCACAATGATGAGAGCTGCCCCTTTGTTCTGGGGTAGCTTTTATCATATGAGTGATTCCAAATGCCGAGTTCCTGGACTGCGCCCCATTCCTGCCCCCACCCTCCAGTCCCCTCTGCTCTCTCCAGCCTCAAAGACGCCCTAGAGACTTGTGTTCAGACACTGACGGCCCCCTGTCCTCTCTCCTCTCAGCTGGTGGTGCCGGCTTCCCAGCCGCTCCCTGTGGGACCCGTGACCAGGTTGCCATCATCGGCGCCGTGGCTTCGTGCGGCAGAGGCTCTGACACAGGTAAGTCCCAGGACACGCCGCAGCCCCGGGGTCTGTGAGAGGCTCCCAGGCCTCCTCCATGTCCCCCAGTTCTGAGGAGGAGCCCTCCCCAAAGGCCAAAGGGCACTTAAAGGAGCCAGCAATCCTAACTCAGCTCAACCAAGTTGACTCAACGCTGACCACATGAGCGCATCTGGGCTGCATTTTGTCCATCTAAGGATGCGGAAAAGCCGCTCTGTCCCGTGTGGCTGCCACACCTCCCTACGGCTTGGTGGAGCCCACAGCTGCCCCATCCGGACACCCCTGACCCTGACCCATGGCTGGCCTGTCCGACTCACTGTTTATTCTCATAGTAGAGCTTGGCCAGGGCCCAGGCGATGATGATGGGGCAAGGGATGCCTGGAAAAGAGACAGACATGGCTGTAGTGGTCAGACAGGCGGACAGGGGACCCTCTTATAGAACACAGGATCAGGGGACCAGAAGGGGCCTGAGATCATGTTTCCACTCCTCTACTGCAGACCCCCCATGACCAAGGGCCTGTCCCTAGACCCCAGTCCCGGCCCCTCCCCCACCCTCAGCCGTCCCCTCCGGGCAGGCCAGAGAGAGGAGGGGACTGGGTTTTCTGAGAGAGAAGTGCCGCTGGCAGCTTCTCGTCCAGAGTCAGAGACCAAGGCCTTGGATCTGCCACTCCAGGCGGGAGACAGGTCCCTGTGTGGGAGGCGCTTCGGAGGGACTATTTGCTTCCTCCTGGCCTGCCTGGAGGGGGCTGGCTGCGCTGGGGACCGTCCTGGGGATGGTGGGCAGGGCTGTGGTTCTGTCCTTGGACCCAAGATGAAGAGAGGTGACCTTGAGGGTAGCACCCCCTCCCCGCTGGCCCTGCCACCCCCCCGGGGACCCTCACACCATCCGATGAAGAGGAAGAGCCACTTGGGCAGGCGCTCGGTGGAGTAGGTCATGACGATGGCTGTGTGCAGGTAGCAGCCCTCCACGAACATCCAGAAGAAGTTCGTCACCAGGAAGTAGTTGAAGACGGTGGTCATGCAGCGGCACCAGACCTGCACGGGCAGGCGGCGGTCAGGGCTGCGGGCTGGCCCGTGTGTGTGGCCGGGGCGCTGGTGGAGGGCCGGTCATTTTAGTGGTTTGTGGGCATGGCATTGAACACCCTCCAATCCCACGCTGGGTGGACTAGCCTTCGTCATTTCTCTCTCACTGTTTCAGACTGAGTGAACGCACGTCTCCCGGCGCGGGTGTGTCTGACTTCCGCCAAGGTTCCTAATTCCCCCTTTTAACCAAGAAAGAGGGACTGGCTCCAAGCGTACTGCAGGCCGAGGCTGGAAGGGCGTCACTGTTGTGTTGCCATGGTGCTATTTTCTGGGGGGTCACTTTTAACCCATAAGTCACACTGGTTTCCATTTAGGGATGGAAGGTGAACTTTCATGTAGGAAAGTGATTTCACGTAAAGTGATTCGATTGAAAGAAAATCATTACATAAATAATAGTACGGGGTCGATGAAGGTGGGCGGAGTCATGGAGGGGCGTCTCCCGTCTCTGGGTTTGGGAGAATGGGTTTTGGTTGCTGCTCTTTGTCCCCCCAGCAGAGGAGAATCTATCCCTTTCCCTCTGAGCTGGGCTCCCCCCACCCCTGGGCCCAGCCCCAACCGGTTGCCCAGTGACCTCATTGCTTTCATGGACTTCGGGGTCAATGAGCTGCAGCAGGAACCACATGGCATTCCGCAGGATAAAGGTGCCGATCAGGTTCCAGTGAATCACATTCCGAAGACAGCGAATGCTCCTGCAGGAGGCCCAGGTCAGGGGTCAGCCAGGGGTAGGGGTCAGCTAGGACTGAGCCTCAGGAGGCCAGGTAGAGACAGCCTGGCATGAGGGCAGGGTTGTACCAGGAGCCAAATTCCCGCTGTGGTGGCCACGGTTGGGCCTCTCACTGCCAGCCTCCCCATGGCATCCATGTGCCTGCCAGGCATGCCTCCACCACCTGCCCTCCGTCTGCTGGCTCCAGGGCCCCTGGGGCGGAGGTGAATGTCTGGGACAGGCGAAGGGGGTGTTGCAGGAGGAGGACAGGGAGAAATCAGGGGAGGGGTGACTCACCGCAGGGCCAGGAAAAGCAGGAAAGAGGCCATAAGGGTTGCCATGGAAACGCAGTGGCCCAGGTAGTTGACCATGTGGGCGATGTAGTAGTGTAGTTCATACTTCCACTGCTGGACGGACAGACAGACATAAGGGCAGACGGAGGCATGGGCCACATGGAAGGTGGTGCTGAACACTCCAGCGATGGCCACCCTGTATGTCCTGACCCGGAGGGCAGAAGGGCTCCTCCATGCAGCTCCCTGCATTTGGTTTGTCACTGGGTGGCTCTTGGTAGAAATGGCTGCGGTCAGGCCTCCCGACATACAATTTTGGAGCAGATTTGGACATAGTGTATGCTGAGACGTGCCAGAGGTGCAGGCAGATTTTATTTTCTTTTTAATTCTGGATTGTGTTTAGTCTCAGCTCAGACCCCAGCCGGCTGAGCAACTGAGGGTGAGTTGATTCAAAACCTCTGGGCCTCAGTTTGACATCTGTACAATGGGTCCAACCAGCCACCCTGCCTCAGAAGCAGTGACTGATGGGAGGTCTGAGGGCTGCCCTGGGATCGGTCTGCCCTTGGGTGTAGCCATGGGAGGGGCAGGTGTGTTGTCTGCAGTGTGCTCAAGAACAATATCAGAATCAAATAAAAGCCACGTGCCTTCTATTATCCCCGGGCTGGCAATTCTAGGCAGAGGTAGGGATGAAGGACTCCTTCCTGCCCCAGGAGGCCTCTCCCAGCCCCACTTGGTTTGCCACCCTCAGCGGGGCCATGAGCGGAGGTGAGCACAGAGGCCGGAGCAAACCTCTCTCCTTTAGGACCGTCCCGCTTGCCACTCCTGTGGCCCTCAGCGCAGTGTCCCTTGGCTCACATGTTGAAGAATCACTTTCCCAGGCTAGACAAATGGTCTCCCAGCCCCCTGAGGACCATGTTGGGTGAATGAGGAGGGGCCTGGAGGCAGGACATATCCTTTTGGGTCAGAACTGAAGCGTAGCTTTAAAGGGGAGGTGGCTGGCCCTGCAGGCAGCAAGGAACTCTGTTTCAGAGCAAGAGGGGCTAGTGGGCTCTGAGCAGGACCCAGCTTCCTACGGGACTGCCCTTCTGGGGGCTGCACTCATTTCCACGTGGAGTCAGAGTTAGAGTGCCTCCTGGGGAAACTGAAGCCCAGAGGACAGGCCTGGTTCTGCCACCCTGGGGATCCTGTGAGTCTATCAGGGTCAGGGCAGCAGGGGGGGTGGCACTCACCTTGTCGTCCAAAATGGGCACACACTGCGAGTAGTTGAGCCGTGAGGCCCAGGTCCCATTCTCCAGGCACTCTCGGTAGACATTTCCTACAAAAGATGCCAACCACCAAGAGGCAAGTCACTCCCCTCCTCAGGAACTCTCCCTGGCTCCCTGGTTCGCCCAGGATAAGGCCCATACTTCTCAGCTTCCCTAGGGCAGGAAACACAACACGCACCTACAAGTTCACCTGAAAGTCATGTGTGTGAAAACTGCACATGAGACTTAACCACACATGGCAGCTAAGAGGCATGAATAATAACCCCATTCCAGTATAGTCTTAGACTAGTTCGAACACTTCCTTTAATTTTGTTTGAAACTGAACCCAATTGTAAGCCCTGAGATGTGGGTGACGATTCACTGATTTCCATTCTTATCTCAACCATGTTTTGCTTAAATGGTCCATACTTTTCCTACCAGTATCAGTGCTTTCATTGTAATAACAGCTACCACTGACATAGCAGGTGTTTGCCATGTACCAGATCCTCTCTGCTTTCTAGCTGCTGTCCAGTCTCCACAGCAACCCCATGAAAGAGATACTAACATTAACCCATTTTACGGAGAGGAAACTGAGGCACAAAGAGATTGGGCTGCCTGCCAAAGACACAAGAATGAGAAGAGGATTCAGACGCAGGAGATCAGGCTTCAGGCTTGATGTTCATAACCTCTAGGCTACTGACACATAGGAATGAGGGACATTGGGGAGACAGGTCCATTCTGCTGACCTTGAGCCCTGGCTGCCTGGGTGGCCCCCACGTGATGTCTCTCAATGTTTGAGATTCTGTTAAAGTTGGAAGGTGATGTGTGAAAACACATTTCAGAACCTCAATGTCTGATGTACAAAAGTGCAAGTTTTATCCAAGGGAAATGTATGAAAGTCAAAGAATGTTTGACAATTTGCATATTAGCCTTTTATTATATAGGATATACAATATAAAGCTAATGAAGATAAACAGCACACAGAACACAGGTGCAGAGCTAGAGGGGGCCTTAGATCGTTTTTGGAAGCAGTGAGTTCTGAAATAATTAAGTTACATAAAAAACCCACTTCCGTCGAGCTGACAGTGAGTAAAAAGCAATGGAATTATTAAGGAGCACTTGCTGAGAGCAGAAACAATGGTAGAGATTCTATTAGCTTAAATGTTTTTTAATTCGGTATTCTGAGCATACAGATTTTTCAAATTCAGCATGGTTACTGGCCTCTTCCTGCCCCTGGGCCCTGCCAGGGTGAGGCTGCATCTGGCAGGACGCTTGCCCTGGAGTATTCCCCAGGCCAATGCTGGTCTGACACTGATTCCAACCCCAATGTGAGGACACCATGGCACCCAATTCCTCACTCAGGTTTTTTCCCTCCTCAGAGGACCTTGGCTAGGTCCCTTCCCCTTTGGCCTCAGTTTCCCCTCTCAGAAACAGTAATCCAAATTTCTGTTTTACTACAGAAAGGTTGTGTGTTAAGAGAATCTGATGCATAGGGTCAGAGATGTCGCTGAACTAAAGGACAGAGTGTAGGGTGAAGCCAAAAGGACTCCTGTCAAGATATCTTAGGAGAGCAGGTCCTTTTGTAAAATAAACCCCTGTCCCTCTCAACAGGCCTGTGTGAGGTCAGACAGACCCTGATTCTAGCTATGGTTCAAAGAGAAAAGTTTATCTTATGGGAATGTATTCATAGATGTTACCTGGCTTTCTTGACATTCATCGCTAAGCCCTTTCCTCCAGGAAGGCCTCCTTGATTGCTCCCATCTCGCAGCTCTTTCTCTCTCAAGATTCCCCACACCCAGTTCCAACAATCTGAGCCTCACACTTCTGGCCCTTGCTCATGATCTGGCCTGAGTTGATCAGTGTGGGACTCCCTGAGGGAGGCCCCAGAGTACTGATTTCCATAGTATGGTATCTCAGCTGGTACTGACCACAGGAAGGCTTATGGATGGCAGAGGGTCAGGATAGAGATGCTGCAAATCTGAGACCTTTCTGCTCCCTCATGTCAATGCCGCTGGGGTACCAAGTTCTGTGAATTCTTTTATTTTTTGGGGTCCACCCCCCTCTGTCCATCCCACCACTCTCTCTCTAGTCATCTTACCTAGACTGGCACAACAGCCTCCTATCTTGCATCACTGCTTTTTCACTCACCCCTTGACTTTCTCTATCCTTTACCCCAGCTGTTAGAGTGATCATGTTGTTTTATGCTTAAAAGCCACAGGCAATTTTTATTGCTCTTGAGAATGACGCCCAACATTCTCAGTGTGATACCCAGGGTCCTGGACACTCGTGCCCAGCCTAACTTTCCTGACCCATCCCCAGCAGCCTCCCTGGCAGCTGATATTTGCGCCAGGAGGCAGGGCCCACACTATCTCTCTGCTGACCCAGTCCCTGAAACTCCCTCCTCACGCTTACCCACTGCCCACTGGCAAACTTCTATCTTCTAAACCCCAGCTCAAATGCCATCTCCTGGAGGCTCCTTTAACATCTGAGATATTCATACTCTCTTCTCTTTTTTTTAAACACCTCCTCTATGCCTTCCAGTCCTTAAAACATGGGCTTTCACACTCTATAGCCCTTGAACCACAGCAAGACATCCATGTCATATCACACACACACACACACACACACACACACACACACACACACACACACACACACCACACACCCTGCATTACTGAATTCAGTTCCACAAAGTGAAATTTATCTTAACTACAGCCATATTTTTCTTTATATTCTATTCCAATGAATTCTGTTTATTTTATGTACAAATGCTGGTCGTGACCCTACTAAATTGACTTCATAATCCACTGTTGTGTTACAACCTGTTGTGTGAGCATTTGCCATGATTAACTGCACATCATCTCACTGGACTCGATCCTACTCTTTGCTACTGAAGTGGAGCTCCCTGGGGACAGACCAGTAGGCACAGACAGACTGTATTGGAGTCATCGGATCCCCCTCAGGGGACTGTGTTGAATTGACTCAGGTCGGCCGAAACCTTGGGAAGCAGAGTCTGGGATGTGGGATGTGGTAGCAGGAGGGGGTTTCCCTCAGAAGCCCAGGCATGCCTGGGAATGAGGTTCTGTCTCATTGGGTACCAGGGGACTGGCAGACAGATGTCCCCAGCTCTTCAGGGGAGCTGGCTAATGAGGATTCTGAGCCCTCAGGCACAGCCTGGGACAGGAGAGCGACAGACAGGGAAGAGTCTCCTCTGGGAACCACAGGAAGATGGGCACGGAAAGTCCTAGGACAGGTGGCCAGGCCAGAATCTCGGGGATGGATGCAGCGAGGTGGATGTCTGTTACCACAGCAACACAGGTGCCCCTGCCAAAGATCGATGCCGATGGTGTGCAGTGTGGCCCGCCAGGGGCATTAGGGTCTGAATGATGTGGGCAGGGCGTTCTCCTCCAGGGCTCTGTGGCTGGGAAGCCTGGACCCCCTCCCCAGCAACGTGCTGGGACTCTGCACCACAGTGGCTCTGGCCTGTTGAAAGGGTTCTCCTCCTTTCAGATGCTGACACTGTAAATGGAGCGCCTGGTTCAGGCGACACCTGAGTGGTCCAGGCGCCCGGCTGGGAAAAGATGGGGGCCTATATTCAAGCTGTGGTTTTGTCTCTGGCTGGCTAAGTCCCTGCCTTCTTGGCCTCAGTTTCCCCTCTCAGAAGCAGTAAGGCAAATTTCTTCTCCAGGATGGTATTGGCATCACAGGTGGGTCAAGTATTTGTTGTGGGGGCCTTCTCAAGAATCTAAGAGCCAGTAGTAACCATGAGTCACGGTGATAATCCCAAACATCCCTACATCACTTTCAAGGGTCCACTAGGTTGGCACTGCTACCTCTGTCATTCTATCCAGCAAAGCATAGGAGATAGGCCATAGAAGACAGGGACAATTTTCGTGGTAGTTATGGGGACAGAGTGCAAGAGGCAGGTTGGGCATGGGCAGTGAGAAGGACTGTGGTGGAGGGTCGGTAATGTGGTCATTGTATAATGACAAGGAGGAAGGTGGGAAGGACCAGAAGCAACACTTACTGAAGGAATGAGGTCACTGGGCAGGACAGGAATGATCAGCACCATGGACAGCGGGGCAAACCCATTCCTCGCTATCTATGCAGGTGCCCCTACCTTGGAGAGATCCTAGAACCCAGCACTCTTCATCCTGCCTTCAACCCATGGCCCTGGGCCCAGCCCAAGAAGGCTACACGAATTCATGTCTTCCTGAAGACCAAGCATCAGCCCTAGATCCTCCAGATGCTCTCAGGCCTGCTCCAGCCCACCTGAGGGTTCAATTGCTACCTCTCCTAGTACATGCTGGTCGGGATTTCCCAGCTAGCCTAAGGAGGCAAGGTCTAGGTCACCCTCTCCTCTGGTCCTTTCCTAAGGGCGACATAGAGCTGAGTACACAGGGGCTCAGGATGGACCGAGGTGATGCTGTTGCCTAGGTGACTGGGTAGCCCTGAATGAGGATGAGAGGCTTGGAGTGGGCCAAGGGGACAGTCTGCCACCCAGGTCTCACCAAGCTGCATAGCAAATGCAGAAGCTGCGGTCACACACGCGGGGAGCATTTGGGTCTCATACGCATGTCACAGGTAGGTCGAGCCCTGTTTCCAGACTGCTGACACTGCGAGTCCAACCCCACCTGGGGTAGGGGTGTCCGTCTATAATAGCAAACTTATGGCCAGTATCCTCCAGATTCAGGGCAAGAAATCCTTGACTGTCCCCAGGAAAGCACGTTGGAAACAGAGCCAGAAGGTGTCTCCTTGGGAATTTAAGAGGGGGAGGCAACTTGTCCCTTACTGGTCTAAAGGGGCCCAAAGAGGGAGAGTGACATGTCCAGGATCCCCAGCAATGAACAGGCAGAACTAGATCTCTCTCCCCTGGGACACACTTTCTCATGGGAGACCCTGGAGCTGGCGTTTCTGGAAGCAAGAGGCTCTCTCTTGCTACACCAGGTCTCAGGAGGTGCAGTCAGATGTGCCCTCTGCCATGCCTATCTAGGACCCTTCTTGAGGCTCCCCCCTGCACCAGACCTGTCTTTGAGAATTGTGACATCCCCATTGCATCAAGGCCCAATCTCACCCTCTCCATGAAGCCTTCCAGGAATGCTGCAGGCCCACCAAGCCCCCCCTTCCCAGTCCCTGACTGCTGATTTGTGCGAGTCTGGTCTTTAAGCTGCCTGGGCCGCCTGAGGGCTGAGCTCGGCCTTTCCTATCATCTCTGTCCCCCCAGGGCCTAAGAGGAGATTCCTGCACAGCAGGCTGACCCAGTGCAAAGACCAACCCCTCTGGCTGGAGACCATTCAGCTGATGTGTTCCCATGTGAACACTATCCATGCTTCAGCATGTGTCTAGAATGGGGTTCTGGGAAGTGGGGACCCAGCCTCTCCATGGGGTTGGGTTAGGTGGAGTGTCCCTTTATCCCCTGTTCTGGGAGATGCCTCCCAGTACAGATGGGGCCAGCCATTCCCAACAGGGCCTGAGGTCCAGGAGGCTGAGGCTGAGCTGAGCAATTCCTCAGGAGGAAAGTGGACCTTGTCCAGGAGGAGGCAGCAGCCCTTTGTAGCTGCGAGGACCACAGGGACACGTGGGAGGAGGGCCCAAGCAGGGCACTCCAGGCTGGTTGGGGAGAACAGGGGACAGCCCAGGCTGGGTTAGGAACCAGAGCACAGCTTCCCCAGCCCCCGTCCACAGGCTATGGGTTGAGATGCTTTATCACCCCCCTTAGCCCTTAGTCTCCTGGCCCAGGCTGAATCAGGGACCCCGAGTTCCACGGCCACACCCCACCCAGCTCGCAGAATCCTAAAAACACAGTTCTATAATCTCAGGACTGAAGGAGCACGGGCGTCATTCCTGCTGCTTGCACACCTCCCTGGGCGGAGACCTCATTTCCAGCGGGGAGGTCTGTTTTAACCCTGGAGAGAAAGCATGGCCTCAGACGATGCAGGGATCCTCCTGAGCGGCTCCACTGTCTCCACCATCCCCTTCCGTTAGGGGCTCCTCTGCTGCTGGGCTCCTTGGGCCCAGGAGAGCCCTCCACTGGAGCAGGTGCCGGCAGGGGAGTGTGCTTAGCTCAGATGCAGGCACTGCTGCCTTGCCCTCTAACCGTCTCTCTCTAAGAGCTCAGACGTGCGTGTGTGTGTGTGTGTGTGTGTGTGTGTGTACACGCGTGCTTGAGAGGGGTGGGCGAGCGGTGCCACAGTTCAGACAGACAGACACTCAGAGAGGGGTTGCTATGATGTTTCCAGCATGGGGATTCAGACACCCTTCTCCCTCCCAGGAGGCCCCCTGCCGGTGGGGTGGGGCTGGAGATGTGAGTGGCCTTCAGGGGGACCACTGACTGCTGGCCTGGCTCCTGCCTGGCTCCATCAGACGATGCACGGGGCACGGACTCAGGCAGCCCCCCACCCAGGGCCGGTACTGAACGATCCCACCTGGGTGCTGGGCGGCTCCACAGCCTCCAGCCAGGAGGAAGGTGGGCACAGGCTGTCCCCCCGGGGGGCGGGGGTGGTCCTGACGCCTGGGGCGCTGGAGGAAAGCAGCCCACAGCCTCTGACTCAGCTCCGAGGGTCAGTCTGGAGACACCGGGTAGGAAGAGGCAGCGCCCCACTCTGGCCCAGAAGCTTCCGTGCCCGGCTGCTCTCCCAACACAGGCGCTGGGCTTGCCTTCCCCTCTCTGGGAGTGAAGAGTGACACCCCCTCACCCGGGGGTTGGGGACTCGGCGCAGGCCCCCCCCCCCCGCTCCCCCCCTGCGGGGGGGCATTGGCTAAACAAAGAGAAGCTGTAATGGGGAGCCTCATGCACTCAGTGTAAATAACCTGGAAGAGGGGTTCACCCTCAAAAGGGAGGAAGTGTGTTCTTCTCCCCTTTCTGGGCTCTCACCGCTCGGCACGCGGGAGTCGTGGGCAGATCACTGCCTCGCTGAGGTCTGACCACAGCGGGGCACAAGGAGCGTCCCCAACATTATGAGGGTCCTCATCGCCAGCGGGCTGACGGTGCCCAGGCCCTCGGCACGTCCCTGGTTCAGGGGGGCCCCCTCCACTCCCTAAGCCGCCCTCCCGGCAGGCCGTGCAGAACGCGGCAGAGGGTCCGACACTCACGCGTGGTGTTGTACTTGATGCCATTGAAGTGCTCGGGGCACGGCCTCTCCACCAGGGCTCCGGCGGCGCTGCGGGGCCAGCACGTCCCGATCAGGTCCAAGGTCGCGTTGCAGTAGGAGTGGGGACCTGGCGACGGAGAGAGCGGAGCGGGCTCAGAGAGGTGGTCGGGGCGTGGGCGCCGCGGGAGGCAGGGCTCCAGGCGCTCGGAGCGCTCAGGGAAGGAGCCCGCGCCCCCCGGGTCGGCTCGCCTCCCGCCTACCCTCGGGGTCCAGGGCCAGCGCCCAGCCGTCCGGGAACAGCTCTCCGTCCAGCGCCAGGCTGCAGTTGGCTTCCAGCAGGCTGGGGAGCAGCGCCGCGACCATCGCGCCCACCGCCAGCGCGCGCAGAGACGGAGTGTGAGTGCGCGCTCGGTGTGGCTGCGGGGCCCGGGCCCAGAGAACCGGGTTTGGGTCCTGCCTGCCCAGCCCCGACCTGCGGGTGCTTCGCCCGATCTCCCGGAGCCGCCCAGTCGGGACTTAACCGAGAGGAGCGGGAAGCGCACTGAATTGCGGGCCCACCGGTTCGGTCGCGTCCAATGGCCGCGTCAGGGGGCGGGGCCGGGCGGCTCCTCCAGCCCCCGACCCACGGGCCAGGCGGGAGTCCGCGTTCTGTGGCCCCGCCGTGGTCCAGAGGAGGGCGGTGGGGATGGAGAGCGTGGGCCGGGGGTGGCGGAATGCCCCGTCCGTCCGTTGTTGGTCCTTCCGGAGGATCACAGCCGCCGGGGTGCAGCCTGCCTAAAGGAGCGCTACCTCCCTGGGGGAGTAGCAGGGAGGGGGTGGGAGTCCACGTGCAGATCTGCGTTCCAGAAAAGCTCCCCGTGGCCTCTGGGAAGGAAGTCGATTGGAGGGGCTTCAAGGGAAGTAGGGAGGCCACCGAAAAGTCTGGTGAGAACGAGGTGCCTGAATGGATGAAGGACCAGCTGCAGGAGCTGGGATGGCCGGGGATTTCCCAGGAGAACCAGCCCTGGGGAGGAGGTCTGGGGAGAAATTGTCTGAAATTAAGTGGAGCACTTCAAACACCAGGGTCTGAGGACGCCCGGGGCTCCTGAGAGAATAGTCTCTTCCTCCTGGCGGGGGCATGCGGCAGGACCACCTGGGAGTGGTCTCCGTGTGTCCGTGTGTGTGTGTGTGTGTGTGTGTGTGTGTGTGTGTGTGTGTGTGTATGGAGAGCAGGCCCCACAGCAGGTGTGGAGCAGCTAAAACCCCTTCTGTGGCATTTGCTCTGGCCCCATCAGGACCACCTGCTCTGTAATCTGTGCGCCCACCGTTGAGCCCTCTGCTCAACCAAAGGCCATTCTGCATCTTGACTGGCCAGCTGGGGCCAGAGCACAGAGCCACAGACCCAAGGTCCCCTGGTTTCTGGAATGCAGGGCCATTTCTCTTGGATCTTATTATAGGCACAGTTGTCTGTTATTCTAGGTGTGACAGAGAAAACTGAAAAGGTAGCAGCGTTGGAACAAATTGATTGTACAACTCACTTCAGTATTTGCAAATAGGTAAACGAGGAAAAAATTGTCAAAGCGAAAACTTCCTTCAATTAGGTTACATCCAACTACTAATAAATAAGGCATGGGCCTTTTTGCTAGCTAAGGAAGCAAAGGTCATGGGAGGCCCTGGGATGGAGGCCAGGGGGGAGGTATTTAGGACAGTGTGTGCCCCCAGGCTGGTGCGACAGGTTGCAAATAAGTTCAGGGAAGTGTGACAGGTGCTGGGAAGACACCTGTGTGTCATGGGCAGCCCTGGGTGAGGCAGGTGCCACTGGCGCACCTCGGTGTCAGCTGCAGTGGCGGTGACCAGTTCCAGGCAGGCAAGCTCAGACACACATCTTGGTTTTCCGGTCATAGCCTAATGCCAGGCGTCAAACAGGCGTGCAGAGCACAGTGGAAATACACACGGCGCCACATGCAGTCACGTGTCTTCACAGTGTCACACACATTCTCTCATTCACCCCGCCACCGATCCAATGTCAGCTGGAAAACAGGATGTAAGGGGCCAGTCTGTCTTTGCATCTCTTGGGGGCTGTGCGTGGCCAGACTGAAAGGACCGGGTGTGCACGGCTGGGACACAGTTGTGGGGTTCACTGGGAGTTACAGTGTGGCAGCTGCTGAGGGCACGGAGGCTCAGGAGAGTCCAGGAGCTGCCCGGCTCCTGCCCTGTGACACTGGGGACAGTGCACCTAGGCCAGACACATCCTCCCCCTCCAGCCCACCCACCCCACCTGGGCACAGGGGAGGTGGCCTGGTGTTTTCATGTGGAACCATGGGACCAGGAAAGACCCCCTGCAAGCTTCTCATTTATAGCTGGGCAAGGGGAAGCCCAGAGGAGGAAAAGGAATTCCCCCTTCAGTCCCTCCCACACCATCTTCATCACCGCAGGAGCCAGACTGGGCTCCTGGGCATGTCACTCCTCACAAGAGTGGCTCCCGATGGCCCTCGGGAGGAGCCGGCTCTCTGGCCCTGCAAAGGACATTCTTCCTGGTCCTTTACCTGCATCCTCTCCCTCCTGCTCAACTTGAGATGCCTTTTGGGACACTTGTCACTCGCTGGAGCCACTCTATACCTCTGCACCTTTGCATGTGCTGTTCCCTCTGCTAGGAACGCCTTCACAGCTCTTTACTCCAGTTTGCCTAGCTCCGTGGTTGGCAAACCACGGCTCGCAAGCCACATGCGGCTCTTTGGCCCCTTGAGTGTGGCTCTTCCACAAAATACCACATGCGGGCGCACTCATACAGTGCGATTGAAACTTCATGGCCCATGCGCAGAAGTCGGTATTTTGTGGAAGAGCCACACTCAAGGGGCCAAAGAGCCACATGTGGCTCACGAGCCGCGGTTTGCCGAGCCGCAGTTTGCCGACCATTGGGATGTCCACTCGTCCTTCCAACCATCAGCTTAGCTCTTTGTCTTGTCTGGGCTGGGTGGACTTCCTCGGTGCCCACATCTGCTAGGAGCTGGTCTATGCCACAGCGAGGTTGTTGTTTTTTCTACAGTTTCCTCTCCCAGCCTGTGACTCCCCGAGGGCAGGGCTGGTCACGCTCTAGCGCCCACCCAAATGCTGCAGGCCTGTGCTCAGAGCCATTGCTGACAGAAGGGTTGCCTGGTCTCCTGGCCAAGGCTCTCTTCCCATTCGACTAGCCCTGGTGTGTGTGTGTGTGTGTGTGTGTGTGTGATTGAGGAGTTATTTCAAGGGATCCCTGAATCCATTGGACACATGTATTCCCTCTGGACAGAATAAATAATATGCCTTACAACAGTGGTTCTCAACCATCCTAATGCCGTGACCCTTTAATACAGTTCCTCATGTTGTGGTGACCCCCAATTTCATTGTTACAAATTGAACATAATTAAAGCATAGTGATCAATTACAAAAACAATATGTAATTATATATGTGTTTTCCGACGGTCTTAGGCAACCCCTGTGAAAGGGTCGTTCGATCCCCAAAGGGGTCGCGACCTACAGGTTGAGAACCGCTGCCTTACAACGTAAACCTCCGTGATGAATAAAACAAATATTCCATGCAAAGCCTGCCGCCTCTCGTGATTATGTGTGTTTTCCCTTTACTTGGACCTCAGTTAGGGGCTTATGGTGTAATTGACCATAGCCTTTGGTTCATGACCTCTTGTCACCAGTAGCCCACACATGGCCTAACTTTATTTTATTTGTCTTTCCTTTCATGGAAGTTTGTGTGTAGCAATAAGTATAATGACTCTGCCACTCAATCTGAAACTAGATCATTGCCAATCACTAGCCTATTTATCTATTTGTGCACTCTCAATATTGCCTTGATCATTTTGCACTTAGCTTTTTCAGGATGATCACGTGTGTGTGTGTGTCTGAACAATAGATTGTTTGGTTTCACCTGTTTTTGAACTTTATGCATTTTCTCAATCAGTGAACCCTAAAAAGGAGAGTACTGCCCTGGATGAATTGTTCCTGAAGTCCAAGGGCATCCTAACAGCACGGATGGTCCTCTCAGGGGCACAGCTAACGAAGGGTAATGCGTCCCCACTCGGCTGCTAGGCAGCATGGCGTGCCGGAAGAATGTGTAATGGCAGGGGGAAATGTAAGAGGCAAAAGCAGGTTACAAAGCTGTGGACGCAGGGTCCTCCCAGTGTTATCAAAACAAAAACAAAACTGAGAAAACATGAGGTTCTAGGGATTGATAAACTGCTGGGGCTCGTAAATATTATGAATATTCCTGGGTTGAGGGACAAGGAGCACTTATTATCTTCTTCCTTGATTTTTAAAAATATTTTTTTCCAAAGTTGTGATGTGTGTGTGTGTGTGTGTGTGTGTGTGAGATATGTGTGATATCGGTTTAAAAACAGATAAATGATACTACAAATGAGGCAGGAGAGGCCTTGTTTTTGGAAAAATTGGGACCCTCCTCACCAGGAGGGGATGGGGAACCAGTTTTCAGAGCCAAAAGGAAGGTGGGGGGTCTGTGCTGAAGGGGAGTGGGGAGCAGGGAGAAGACAGTGGGCCCACGAATGAACCAGCATCCCCTCTAGAGCAGAGAGCTCTGAAGAGGTTAAGGTGGGCCCTCCTGGGGGGGGGGGGCTCTATTTCATGCCCGATGTGGCCCCTGCTGGGTGTGTCCACAATCTCTCATTCAACCTGCTCTCAGTGAGCCTCTGAGGTTAATACAGACCCGTTTATAACAGACAAGGAAACGGAGGCTCAGGAGGTGTTTTGGGTTGAATTGTGTCCCTCAAAATCCATATATTGAAGTCCTAACCCCCAATGCCTCAGGAGGCGGCCTTATTTGGAGACAGGTCCCTAGGACTAGGATGGTCCCTAATCCAAACGCGCTGTCTTTTTAGGGAGAGGCAATTAGGACACAGACCCCCAGAGGGAAGATCAAGGGAAGGCACAGGGAGAAGATGGCCGGCCATCCACAGGCCAACGAGAGAGGCCCAGAAGGAACCTACCCTGCCAGCGTCTGATCTGGGACTTCTGCCTCCAGAATCGTGAGGAAATGAATCTCTGTCGTTTAAGCCCCTCGGCCTGTGGTGTCTTACTGCAGCCCTAGCAAGTGAGCACAGGCGGGCCGGGGCGGTGTGGGGGGAGGAGCTGGTGCCAGACTCTGTCGGACCCTAATGCCTGAGCTCTTGAGCCCACACTGTAAGGAGGGCAGGCGACAGGCTGTCATCCTCCATGCCCGACTCAGGCTGCATTCGGCGCTGGGTCTCCCTGTTGGCCAGCACCTTTATCTCCAGGGGCCGAGGGCACCCCCAGCCTCCCTCCTCCCCGACTGCTTCAGTGGATGCAGATCTGAGAAGGCCGGGACCTGGGGGGTGGACCCTGAGCCTCTCCTGAGCCTGTGGCTGACCCTGACTCTGACCGGCCACCGGAAAGCTCCGAGGGGTCAGAGCTCAGGCTCCCGCTGCCGCTTCGAAGGTCCCTACAAGGAGGTGGCACTTGGAGTCGCCGTGACCAGAGAATAGATTTTACA